CTGAAGGAGCTAAACGAAGTAGGGAAGAAAATGGGATAGCGAGTCAACCGAAAGAAGACTTACTTGACAAACACCTTTATAAGGAGCCGGAGATAGGCTCAGAAGGCTCTCCAATCTTGGAGACTCTTCATATACCCAGATGTTCAATGAACATAGAGGCGATTTAAAAAAGGAACTAAAGAGGAGGTGAAGAGCAGTTTGGGCTGCTTTCGAGCCTCTATGGAAGCCACAGACTACCTGACGGACTTAGAGTCTGAGGGTACCTGTTTGATTCCATCTTCTCCCTGCGATCTGTTACGCAGAAGAGACATGGCCTGACACGGTAACTACGTCGAAACTCTCACTCACAAAGCGCTGAATGACGCCTTCTGAAGCACAACCGACGCTCTCAACATCTCGTCAGACTTCGCAAATCAGGTAAGAAATCAATGTCTCGTCTTCGTGGCAAAACATTGATGGGCTGGTCACAAAGACAGACAATGGACACTAAGAACTCTGGAATGGATTTCTCTCAAAGAAAACGTCCTCGAGGGAGGTCACCGATTAGATGGGCTGACGTGTTCATTACACGAATGGATCAGCTGAATTCTCAGCTAAAAAGATTTAATGGATCTGGATCTCGCGAAGTCGCCGCCGCAGTTCAATAGGTACGCAGCCGCAGTACATCGATGACGCTGACGAGAGACAGAAACGGATGGAAGCAATCTGGGGTTTGCACGCCAAGAAGACTGTGAAGACAGGCCATTTAAGTATCTAAGCAAGTATCTAAGACCATTAACAATGATGAAGCTCTATTAAGAATAGAGCAATTTGGAAAAGCCGGTCAGAAAGGAAAACAAGAGGAACAAACGCAAAGAAACAAGCTCTTGTGAGCGGCTCATAATACCTCTGAGTTACAGTGTGTGCATGCCATACTATACTCTCCAAGGAAAAAAAATATAATTGAAGTATTTGCTAATGAAATTTTCAATAAGACAGCAGTGGTATTGTATACAGCTTTCAATTAGACTTAAGATTTGAAAGAGGCTTCCACAAATGATGAATGTGCATTTGGAGCTGATATGATGCAACTGGATAATGATTTCCGAAGTTTTTAACATGGTAAAACACATTCACATAGGTTTTTTTTCCAGCAATAAAAGAGAAAGCTTGTCGAAAACAACTAATTTGGCGAATTGGTGTCGGTCGAATTCACTTTACGAAACACTTCCAAAATTTACGGTTGTTTCTCCTGAAAGCCTAGTAACCTTGAAAGATATCCCTCACACATTGTTCTTTGTTGCAGAAGTTACTTATAACTCTTTAATGAATTCTGCTAAATCGCTTATACCAATCGTCATATAGTATTATCGAATTACAAACTAGCTTCACCTATAGGCACCATTATATTTCGGAAAAGTGGTCCAGAGTGCAAATTATTTTAAGCAAATGAATTGTGCGTCATAATTTAAACGAGATGATGTTTACATAAAGAAACAATGGGTAAACTGTCATACGGGGATAAAATAAAGGAAATGTCAGTGAGCAATATACAGATTCCTAGCACTATTTGTTTCAATTCTGTCCACTTGCCCTTTTCAAATTCTCCATGATCAGCTGTTTTACTATTTGACACACGGACTTATTCAAAACGTGTCAGGAGAAAAATCAACAATCAACGATTTAAAAAATTCTCAATGAAAAATGAAGAGCCAAATTCATAGTAATAGTAGCAACGCAATATCACGGTAAATTGCTTGTCCGAGTGCTTATCCAGGCGTTCCTCCTTGACATGCTAACCAAGTGATAGTTGTGTACCCATTGGGCAAAAACCAGTTGTTATTTGGAGGAGCAGGGCACACCGCATATTGATCAGCTAAATTCTAATGTTGCGAAGTATAGAGTTTATAAGGATGTTGAGTAAAAACCTGGATAAGCTATTCCTTTAGGGTTGAGGGTCGTGTAATAGTATGCCGTGGTGCCGGGAGGGCAGGCCCAAGTTTGCCTAAAAGTTTTCCAGGAAGAAATAGATGTATAATCTGATAAGATAATGCAGCTCATTCTGACTGCTTATTCGATACTTTTCTAGATA